AGTTTAATTTTCCACTTTACATTATGAAATTAGTTCAAAATTATTTAACTGACAGAACTCTGCAGGTAAATTATCAAAATTCCAAATCTAATCGACTGCCTGTTAGAGCAGGAGTTCCTCAAGGTAGCATTCTTGGGCCTATATTGTATAACATTTTCACTTCGGACCTCCCTGATTTGCCTCAGGGTTGCCACAAATCTTTGTTCGCTGATGACACAGGCATTTCCGCTAAAGGAAGAAGTCTTCGTGTTATTTGCAGCAGACTTCAGAAAAGTTTAGATATTTTCTCTTCTTATTTACAAAAATGGAAGATTTCTCCCAACGCTTCCAAAACTCAACTTATAATATTTCCACATAAGCCCAGGGCTTCCTTTTTGAAACCTAGTAGTAGTCACATAGTCACTATGAACGGAGTTCCAATTTCCTGGTCAAACCAAGTGAAATATCTTGGATTAATACTTGACCATAAATTAACTTTTAAAGATCACATTGAGGGCATTCAAGCCAAATGTAACAAATATATAAAATGTTTGTATCCTCTTATTAACAGGAAATCCAAACTTTGCCTGACGAATAAACTTCTAATATTTAAACAAGTTTTTAGACCGGCCATGCTTTACGCTGTGCCAATATGGTCTAGTTGTTGCACTACCAGGAAAAAAGCACTTCAAAGGATTCAGAACAAAATTCTGAAGATGATTTTGAAGTTGCCTCCCTGGTACAGTACTACCGAAGTACATAGAATTTCGAATGTTGAGACTTTAGCACAAATGTCCAACAAAATAATTAATAATTTCCGGCAAAAATCGTTACAATCCTCAATTGCAACGATTAATTCCCTTTATACTTAGATAAGATTTAGTTTTAGTTATTTAGTTTTAAGCTATCAATTGTTATACTGACATGCAGGTTTAAAAAACCTGTTTAAAATACTGAATTGCCAAGACAGGAACAATGTAAAAACACTTAGATATATATCATAACAATTAAGGCTGGTAAGTTGCTGTAGTAACTGGAGCACCTAGGTTAAAAATGAAATGTAATTTATTTTGAATTTGGAACAAATAAAGAGTTAAAAAAAAAAAAAAAAAAAAAAAAAAAAAAGACCTTTTGGTACATTTTTTTTTACGGATCTTCAAAAATTTTGGTTGCCATTCCTCGCCCCCCTGAAACGTGACGTAATTAGTGAACGGACCATCATGGGATTCAGTTTTTGTATGTTGTTGTGGCACATGATATGTTGGATTCCTTTCAGGTCAAAGTTAATCGAAAACCCTTTAACGCCGGATTTTGTAACAAATGCACACAAACACTTAAATATAGTCATTTCCCGATCTTGTCAGACTGAGTCGAATGATGTATGTTACTCGTCCTCGGATCGAAAGTCGGTTTTCCAAGCGGTTTATGAAAAATAATTTGCAAGATTGGATAATCGAGCCTCCGGTTAATCGAGCCTCCGGATAATCGAGTCCGGCCTGTAATATCAAATATATTACTTTAACAATATGATCACTCGTTCGCTTACCTAGCGAACCAAATTTTCAGCGATGAAAGCGCTTCTGTGGTCAAAAAGGCTGCCAATGTATTTGTTTATCTTCACGAGGGGTTAACCAAATTAAAATTTGTATAATATTCCAAATGTATTTATTTCAACATATGATTTTATTGTTGAAAACAGTGAAAATAATTTGAATTTTATTTTTGTAATAAGTGCTATATTTGCACCCCTCACTTGCCTATTGATGTTTGTTGCTGACATTTTTCAACGCTAGATGCTGCGTGAAGCAATATTTTAATTTTTCATCATCAACATTCACATGTTCAGTATTCTTCATGATTTCGTAAGGTATTTCTGCCTCCCTTGTAAGAAAACGTAAGATAATTTCCAGAAGCACATGTTAACAATAAGCTGACAAAATCCAAATTGTGAGTGCTTATATAGACTTGAGGCCCAAGCTTCGTTATCCCAAGAAACATTTACGGTTTTATTATGGTCTTCAAGTCCATTCGAAGCCATATAATCCTCTTCACAATGATGATAAAACCGAAAATGCGGATTAGGTATGTTACGCTAATTTCGGATTTTCATACCGGTTAGCTGTAGTATACTCATGATTCTCTGAATGTGTCTGATACTTGCTAAAGAGGTTGAATTGGATATAGAGGCAACATCTCATAAATTTGGCAGGTTGTCTGCCCTATTGGAACGAATTTTCCCATGACTTTAACAGATAACCGATCGTTACAATTTCGACTTGTCGTCTCTTTCTTCAATATTTGCCATTATAGTCCTAGGCATTTTAGCCACCAATGAAAGATATTGTTTTTGAATTCGTATATATTTTCCAATTTGTTGTTTGTTAGAAGCGAATTAAAGCCTTCGCATCGTTGGCGTATTACAAATTATAAAGGCGGCGTGTCAAAAATGGTCTGGCCGGTGCGCCGACTCAAAATCATCAGTGGCGGTGGAGTATGAAAAAGTGTCGGCGGTGAAACAGTTCCAACAGTAATTGTGTACACATTTAAAACAAAAAAAAACTTATTTTACATTTAATATCAACCAATTAGCAACTGCCTCCAAATCTAGACCCCAGTTGTTCAACACTAGGTTAGAAGTGGTTCTGCCTTTCGTTCACGGTCTACGGGACACTACCTTGTGATGGATTTATTAATCACATCACTAGAGCCATTTACCATGAAGCAATATTTTATGATTTTTCCTTCTAGAACTTTGAGAAAAATGGTTTTTGCTTTCCCTGAATAATTTACAATAGTAAGTAAGGTAAAGTAAGAGCGACCATTGTAAAACAAAATTAAAATACACTCAGCTCTGTTTGAGCCCGATTGTTTTTCGTCCGTATTTTTGATCGTGTGATCGCAAATTGCTACCCAATTTTAATTGTATGCAAATTCATGGTAGTTTACTCGGAAATTTGCGCAAATTATCGATATTGCATACAAGCTTGTTAACAGTGCGATGCTTATTGCAAGCTCTAAATTAATCCTTTGTTTGTATCTTGAGGTCAATATGACCCCAGAAATTTTTACAATTTTGATTATTCATCAAAACGATTTTTTTTTTCTGAAATTTTTGCATACTTCTTGATATGCCTGTCTCTTAGTTGAGACATACTTTGAATTTTATTCAATATCCGTTTTGAAGGATTTTTGTTATGAACTTAGCTTTATTTTAGAGGTACAGATAAAGGGTTAAACGAGGGATGTTTTACGTGACGATTATAATTCAAACTTATTTTTTGTAGAGTAGAGGAAAATTTACAGTATGTTCAACTAGATATTTTACCTGGCCGTCTTGATACATGCTTTTGTGGCTTTAAAACTGTGTTCAAGAAAATTCATTATTTAAAGAAATTCATGTTATCGAAATATACTATCGTAATGATGTGCAGTTACTCAGTTTTCCGAATATTTAACGCTAAAATGAATGAAGCTCTCGTATATTCCACACCATAATCAGTGAGCAAAAATCATTTCCTCAATCAACCCATTTCTACATCCAACCACAATCTTTTCATTACCAGCCATTCCAATTTGATTAGCATTTTCCATCTGTTAGTGAACCATTTTCCCAACCATCATTACCAGTGGTTCATTGGAAGCACGAAAGAAAGTATGTAGTCGTATCTACCAACCATTCGAAAACGTAGCAAAAAAAAAACATTGTGGGTACATAGGCATCTCGGTCTGCAGTTGGTACCCGCCAGCAGTGCCAATTTCCTCCATTAATTCAACACAATAACACTTTCCCAGTTGAACAAAAGCAGCGATTCGACGATGCACAACAACACCAGCCACCAGCTGCTGTGGATCCCTCGCTCTCCACCGCCGCCCACCCGCAACCTTACTGAACAATAGATTTTCCGCAAAAATGAGCAGAACAATGGTCGGTCGGCGACCACAAGATCGTTGAACCACGGGGATCGGTACACGGCCCTCTGGCCCACACGGACGGATGGAGGCTGTGTTTCGCTTCGCACTCTATCCACCAGCATGCACACGCAGAGGGAGAGAGAGAGAGAGGCTAATAAATAGAGACCACGGGCACCAACACAACCACCATAGCCGTCCGAACGAATGGGAAAATCGCTAGAGTTGCTGGCACTTTTCCCCGTTATGTGGTCGTGTGTGTTTATAACTTTGGCTTCTTTTTGGCCGTCTTGCCATCCTCGTCGCCACTTGCTTTCATTCCTCTGGCTACTGGCACCCTTTCACTCGCTCCGAGTTGGTACACTGTGTTTACACTACCAAGGCTATAGTGAATGATTTTCACACTTTTCCTCACTTTTGGCACTTTTCACACTAACACATACACACGATACGACCAAAACACTAATGGCGCCTTGACCCCCTCTTGTACGGACGACCGACTTGGCGAGAAACTCGCAGTCAAATCCTTTTGACCTTAGGCCATCGTCGTCGTCGTCGTTGTCAGGAATGTGGAGTTGTTTTTCCCTGTATGCCTTTGCAGCACAGGTCCTTCCAGATCACTCGATTAATAAGCACGTAGCTCACAAGCACTACCACTAACGAACTACAGAGGCCTACCGAAAAGCAGCACCATCGAGGAAATGAAAAATAAAACCTTGCCGAATAAAACACCAAACTCCTTCTTCGCATTCGCAATTACTCTCTCTTATGGCTTTATTGTAAAACACACCAGAAAAATACCACAAGACATAGTTCAGCTGCCCAAGAGTGGCTTTCCTTTTGCTAACTACGCGTTTTCTGCGTTATCCAACCTTGCGGGGGCCCCCGATTTCGCTTGTCCTTGGTCACTTTTGCAGGTGAAACCGTAGTACACCAGCTACAACGCAACAATTATGGCGTTCCACCTTGGATCCACACTTTCGGCATACAACACGGTTCTCGATTGCTGACGGTGGTCAACATATCCAACACTGTTCCCGTTTTTCTTCAACCTTCCCGAATCATCCGTGTTCAATCCACCATAGATTTCTAGGGGGACCCGTTTTTGTTACCTTTCCCCGAGACGAACGAAGCAACCCAACTACTCTCTAGCTCAACAACACGACTACGACGACATCGCGTACCATCGAAGCTAACCCTCTTACAGACGGACGGTCGGACGGACGTGCAGAGACGTAGCAGAGGCAGTGAAGCAAGGTGGAACGAACAACACACTCTTTAGCAGCGCAGCACCATCTTGTCAAACACAGCAATGAAAAAGCAAAGTTATTATTTTGAAAACAGCTCACTCGCACTTCAGCAGTGGTGTGGGTCGTGGTATATTGCGCTGTCTCGTTTTTTCCGCCTGCGTTCAGGTTTTCAGCTGTTGTCATACACATCAGGCAGATGTTTGTGACTTTACACCTAGGCCTTGATGGACCCCTCGTTGCGGTATTGCGCGTGCGATGGAAAGAGACCGCACGATACCAAGCGAGTTGCCCGATCAGTGACGGGCAAATGCGTCATCTTGACAGTCGAATGACAGCTGTCAGATTGAATTGTTTCGGAAACGTTGTACGCCGAGTAGCACACATTAAGGCGTATTCATGGTGAATGTTTCAACGATTGGTGGAATTCAAGCATGATCATAGAATGGGTATATTTATTAGGCTCAGAATATGTAAGACTCTCTTACAGTTTCGAATAAAATAAATGCGAAATCTATAAGGATTTACAGTGTTGTAATTGACCACTTTCTAGCTTTTTCGAAAACAAAACATTTTTTGCGTGGTGGTGATGCCCTTATATATCATGTAGCGGTCAATTAGTCCAAGTTTTAAGACCGCCTCAGTGACCAGATAAATTGGCCGAAGTGATCTAAGGTTTTTAACGACCTAGCCAGTACACTGAACCAATATGACATATTCCTGTTATGTGGAGGTCTAATAAATTTGCACTATAAGAAAATCTAATGAAACGATATGATTCAAAATGTGTCAGGTAAATTCTATATGAATAACAGATACATTTACAATGCTGATAAGTTGGTAACTTTTATATAATCGTCATATGATAAATGAAAATTGGTAAAATTATAAGAATTAACGGAAATGGATTTGAAGCCTATAAGCATAAGCTTTACTTACTACAATATCATATACATGTCATAAATCAATCTAATTAAAATTTATATGCAAATCACAAGAAATTTACTTATTGCTTTGACACATATACTTAATCGGTTCTAAAAATAAATCAAAAATGAACATCCAGGCATTGGGAGAGGTGGTGTGCTTGAGTGCTTTTCACACAGTTGCGTTTTTTTTTATTGTATCTTATTTGGGATTCGACCCAGGACTGTTGAGGTGTGATCTCGGGTGTGATGCTGTCGGTGTCTCCGCTTGATTCCACTGGACCACGGCTGGCTTAACGTTATGCTCGCTTTGCTAGTGTGAAGACAAATAGCACTGACAAATGTATGATCCGTTTCGGTGGTGTCGTTTGTTCAAATCTTTCTTAATGCACCTGTGTGCAATAAACCAACGACTAAATTATATGAGTTCATGGAACTGGTTCATGAAGTTCCAGTACTAGTGCTGGAATCTGAATAAGCCGTGTAGAAGACTTATAATTAGAATATTAGCAAAGTAAATATTGCAGTAGAATCATTTTTATTTTCAATCTCAATACATTATTTTCTGGAAGATCTGATGGGACAAAAACAAATAAAGATTTTCAATGCAGTATCATTGTTTTAAGCAATATTTAGTTCGAACAACAGTCATCCCAACTAGCAATTTTAGCTGCAGATTAGCTTATACAGCCAAAAATTGGCTTATACAGCTAATTTTTGCCTGTATAAGCTAGTCTGCAGCTAAAATTGTTTGTTGGGATGTTCAATGAGTGTACGATAACATCGTTGAAAATTATCTCAATCATTTAGGCAAAACAATCATATAATATGAAAAACCATGCCAAAACAAATGTTTGCCGTTGAATTTCCTAAAAGGCAAATTTATATGACTATCTAATGATTAGGATAGATCTGTTTACAATCTTCAAACGTCAAAAATCAAAGGAAGCTATTCCAATAAGATATACATGTTTTCCTATAGCGCAAGCTTTAATGACTGTCCAATAGTTTCTACATGCCTGTTTACACCCGACATATCAACAAACGTCAAAAATAATTAAAAGCAACATCAATAAAATATACATGATCTTATAAGACAAATCTTTTAGTGAGCAATATTCATCCCGAAAACAGGTTTATTTTGCTGGATTTTATTATAGTGCTAACTTATATGGATTTCCATTAGTTTCTAGATGTCTGTTCCCACCCATGACATAGTAACAGGTTTTCACCATAATATATATCAGACAATATTAATATACATCTTACCCATCGCTAACCACGTTCAAGGTAAAGGAATATCATGTACACACAAAATATAAAAACTGTATCAATAAAAATAATGTATTTTCAAATTGAAAGTTTCTCATAATTCGTAGTTTTAACTACGAATATATTCAAAATGAAAGTCACGCTATGAGTTTAAAAGAACTTCTTTCAATTTTGGCTTGTAATTTTAAAAGTTCATTATTTGAAAGAAAAATTGTTCAACTTTCAATAATATGTGTTCATATCAACTTTTACTGGCAGCCCTGAACCCTCATTTGCATTTCCCGCCTTTGTCACTCTGACCGCTAGTGGAAATTAGAAGTGGCAAAATTTCGCAAAATAAAATATATATACTATCTGAAATCTAGCATTGCTGTTACCATTTTCAAGGATTGCGTGAACATTTAGAAAAAAATGTTATTGTTCCTGTAAAGGTTATTAAAATTTTATTGAGTTTTTGTTGGATCCAATAAATTTGATTGATTACATGATTTTTCTGCACAATTTCAGGTTACTCACCCTAGTTTTATCGCTTCCGTAAGTACCACTAATGGAACGTTAATCCGGATTGGTTCTGCTATCCAAGTCATATTGATCAAACTGGAATGCTCGTTACTTCTACTGACCAAGCCGGTCGTCAAGTCACAGCGTAGATGCGAAGGAGTCGTGGTCTATGTAGTCCGCACCAGTTGCTGTTGGTGGATGTTTGGATGAACTCACCGTCATGGACATTGATTTATCCCAAACGGTGGGACCGGTCCCCGAGTCAGTTGAGTTTCCCTGGAAGTCTGATCAGCTCTACTGGAGTAAATTTGAGACACCGAACTCGTTATTGTGTAAGCACAAATGCGATTTATGCCGAATATTTAAGCAAACTTTATCATATTTTCAGGATGAATTATGCAACGGCACATTTGTTCACTGTAATTTTGTTAGCACTTGATACATCATCTCGAATGGCATGAAGCTTGCATTACATGCACAGTTTCAACACAATCGGACAAGGGGTGCTTCTGTCGGATATAGGCTTTGAGAATCGCTCTTCGCTGCCAGCAGGTAGAGGCATCATTTCCTTCAACACGCATGCATACATGTACAACGTGATTTTATTTGATTTTAGTCAATTTCATCTCATATGACCAAGCCAGAAGCTGTAGTGATTGGACCTGCTGGAGGAAGTTATCTACTTCTTGAACACCCTGCGTTTGAACAGCATAAACAACAGCAACTGTACATTTCTCAAACACTGCTGCTATCTATGTAATGGAGGAGTCCCGCAGGAAACAACAGCAGCAGGGAAATGGTCAGTATGTTGGGTTTGCGGCTTAATTTGAAAGACAAATAGGTGTGTCGATATGGATACATATCATTATGTTGGGTAATGTTAACAATATTTTACATTGAAAAATAAAAACAGTTATTTAAAAGTTTTGATATTCAGTATACAATAAAAAAGATGACAAATGATATTTTGATGTTGAAAATGCTTTTATTAAAATTAAACATATTTTATATATTTAAATCAAAGTGGCACATATGTCAATATAAGTATACAAAGCTTTTATGTTGAAAGTTTAGTTTGAATAAAAAATAATACACTTTTAAATTTAACACTGTCAAGCTTTTGATTTGACAGTTCTACAATTAAATTTGGAAATTTCTACATTTAAAAGTATAGGGCACGTAACTTTTGAACTGACAATAGGCTGACTTTTGTTTTGAATGCTAACGACTTTCTACCAAAAAGAACCAAAGCAAACTTTTAATTTTACCCATGGTTTTTTTTAATTTCATTAACGATAATTTTTTGTGTGTACTAAGTATGTGAATTTACGATAGAAAGCATTTCATATCGCAGTCATATTTTTTTAAGTGATAAATAAACCGAACATGTCGATTTGTTTCAGTGTATGCTGCGGTGTCGGTGGTAATGCTTATATATAGAGATGACTGGAAGCGTACGTGTGAGTGAGGTAAAATTCATTACTCTACAACTTCAGCTACGTTTTTGTTGATCGTTAATTTTTCACCGAAAATAATTAGTAAATAAATAATCATACATATTTTAGAGAAAAACAGATTATGTTCAGGAATGCTATCTAGCGGAGCAAAATTAATCAATCCGAAACGAAGCATTTTTGCGACTTGATGTCATGCGCAAAGTTTCTCATCATAGTAAGGACCATCTTTTGACATAAACAAATAGTTCAAAACTCTTCCGCAAAGATGGCACCGCAATCTAACGTCTTTCTCTGACGTTTTGGAGATGCCTTAAGCAAAGTTGTTTATCTTGAGAAAATAAACAACTCTTTTGGAGACGTAAAATTTCCACCGCCTACACACAAAAACAAAATTTAGTAAAAATAATGCAATTTCAAATTAAAAGTTTCCTAAATTCCGTAATTTTAACAACGAAGATATTGAAAATAAAAATTATTTTTTGGTTCGAAAATGTTTCTTTCAGGTTCGACCAGTGCATTTTTTTAAAATGAAAAGTGTTCAACTGTCAAGAATACATTTTCTATGCAAAGTGTTTGGCAGCACTGGACCTCGGTTTGCCGCTTAATTTGGCTTGACGCCAGAAACGAAGAGCGAGGAAAAGTTGGAAAGGACAATTTTCCTCCGTGAAAAATAATAATCGCATCAGGTAAGCGATCAAATAACAATAGTAGAGTTTAATTAGAGATTTTTATTAATTTCAGATAAAACGAAACAATATTCATCTGCAAGCGGACGAGATGGCTCGGAATGCAAGTGAGTGTTCGACGACTACTAATAGTAGATGTTAAAGGTATATAACAATACATTTAATATTCCACA